TTCCAGACAGTAATATATGAGGGTCCAATTTCTCCACATCCTCAGCAACACATATTTTCTTTGTTTATTATAGCCATCCTGGTAGGTATGAAGTGGTATCTCAATGTGATTTGTATTTGTATTTAACTAATATTAAACATTGAGCATCTCTTCATATGATTCTTAGACAGTTGTCCCAGACTATTCTATTTGTTGAAAAGACTACTGTCTTAGCACCCTTATTGAAAATCAGCTGACCATAAATGCAGAGGCTTACTTCTGGACTCCATGGAATTCTGTCCAACTCATCTATATATCTTTATGCCAGTACCACACTGTCCTAATTACTGTAGCTCTGTGGTACATTTTATTTTATTTTTTTTTAATGTTTATTTTTGAGGGAGAGAGAAAGAGACAACAGGGGAAGGGCAGAGAGAGGGGCACTGAGGATCCAAACCAGGCTCTATGATGACAGCAGACAGCCTGATGCGAAGCTCCAACTCATGAACTGCGAGATCATGACCCTAGCTGAAGTCTCAGGCTTAACCAACTGAGCCAGCCAAGTGCCCCTGTAGTAAGTTTTTTTTTTTTTAATGTTTTATTTATTTCTGAGAGAGAGAGAGAGAGAGAGAGAGGCAGCGTGAGCAGGGAAGGGTCAGAGAGAGAGAGAAATACAGAATCTGAAACAGGTTCCAGGCTCTGAGCTGGCAGTCAGCACAAAGCCTGACGTAGGACTCAAACCCATGAACTGTGAGATCATGACCTGAGCCAAAGTCGGATGTTTAACCAACTGAGCCACCCAAGCGCTCCTGTAGTAAGTTTTAAAGTGGGTAACTATTGGAGCACCTGGCTAGTTCAGTTGGTAGAATATGTGACTCTTCATCTCGGGGTTGTGAGTTCAAACCTCACATTGAGCACAGAGGTTTAAAACGTTGAGAAGGGTGAGTCCTCCAACTTTGTTCTTTTCTAGGCCTGTTTCAGCTATTCTAGGTCTCTTGCATTTCCATGAATTTTAGGATCAGCTTGTCATTTTCATAAAAAAAGCCAGCTGAGGTTTTAACAGGGATTGTGTTGGTAGATCAATTTAAGGATCATAGCCATCTTAACAAAATTAAGTTTTTCAATCCATGAACATGGGATGTTTTTCCATTTATTTAGGTCTTTAGTTTCTTTTAGTAATTTTATAGTCTTCAGAGTATAAGTTTTGTACTTTTGAGAGAGAGAGAGAGAGAGACGGCACAAGTGAATGAGGGTGGGGGGGAGGGAGGGGGGAGGGGGGGAGAGAGAGAGGGAGAGAGAAAGAGAAAGAGAGAGAGAGAGAGAGAGAGAGAGAAGCTCACCCTAAGCTGGGCTCATGTTCACTTTGAAGCAGGGCTCGAGCTCACCCAATAGAAGACTCTTTCTCATGAACCATGAGATCATGACCTGAGCCAAAGTCAGGTGTTTAACCAACTGAGCCACCCAAGTGTCTTCTTTTTTTTTTTCTTAACCTTATTTTTTCCCTTTTTTAATATAATCTCTATACCCAACATGGAGCTTGAACTCACAGCCCTGAGATCAAGAGTTGGCTCTACCAACTGAGCCAGCCAGGCACCCCAAGTTTTGCACTTTTTTCTTTTTGGTACTATTGTAAATGGAATTGTTTCTTAAACAGTTTTCATTTTTAGACTGTCTATTGAGAATGTATAGAAATGCAATTGCTTTTTGTATATTGGTCTCACATAACCTTGCTCAACTTATTTTAATAAATTTTTAGAAAATCCTCACAATTTTTACATGCAAGATCATATCATCTGCAAATAGAGATTGTTTCACTTCTTTCTTTCCAATTTGAATGCCTTTTATTTCTTTTTCCTGCCAAGCCATCCTGGCTACTTCCAACACAGAGTTGATGTGGCTAGAACAAACGCTACTGTCTGTTCCTTATCTTAGAGGGAAAGCTTCCAGTCTTTTAGCACTACACATAAAGTTAGTTGTGAGATTTTTGCACAGTGCCCTCTTTCAGGTTGAGAAAGTTCCATTTTTTCTTTTTTTTTAAGTTTATATATTTATTCTGAGAGAGAGAGAGAAAAGAGCAAGCAAACCGGGGAAGGGCAGAGAGAGGGGGAGAAACAGGATCCCAAGGAAACAGGACATGACATGGGGTTTGAACTCACAAAGCATGAGACCATGACCTGAGCCAAAACCAAGAGTCAGACACTTAACTGACTGAACCACCCAGGTGCCCTGAGAAAGTTTCCTTCTTTTTAGTTTATTAACTTTTTTATTATGAAGAGGTACAAGGAAAATTTAAGATTTATTAAAAATCCCTGCTACCACTCCTTTAACCAAAACTGGTGTCAGTGAGGAGTTAGTGCTGAAATCTGTCTCCTTTAATCCTATTTCAGTTAGAAGCTATGCCTAAAGAAGACCCACACAACTGAACTAGGTTCCACAACACATTTGTGGTGCCTAACACCAGCCAGGCCTTCTGTGCCACTCATCGGTTATTATTCTTGACCTTTGTCAGCTCCTCTCCAAATCCCCTCAACAACTCTACTTTACCATTATCAAACCCAAACTTAATCCCCACCTTCCCACTCTTATTTTAAATAAGTTTTTATTTTATTTTTAAATATTTTATTTTTTTTAAATGTTTGAGAGAGACAGAGTGTGAGTCTGAGAGAGGCAAAGAGAGCGAGACATAGAATTTGAAGCAGCTCCAGGCTCTGAGCTGTCAGCACAGAGCTTGACGTGGGACTTGAACTTGTGAACTGCAAGATCATGACCTCAGCCGAAGTCAAGACACTCAACCGACTGAGCCACCCAGGCAACCTTTAATTTTTTAATGTTTACTTATTTAACTTTTTTCTTTTTTATGTTTTATTTATTTCTAAGACAGAGACAGCACGAGCAGGGGAGGGTCAGAGAGAGGGGGAGATAGAGTCTGAAACAGGCTCCAGGCTCTGAGCTGTCAGCACAGAGCCCAACGCAGGGCTCAAACCCACAAACTATGAGATCATGACCTGAGCCGAAGTCGGACGCTTAACTGACTGAGCCACCCAGGCGGCCCTTAATGTTTATTTATTTTAAGGAGGGGGCATAGGGACAGAGAAAGAGGAGGACAGAGGATCCGAAGTGGGCTCTGTGCTAACAGCAGAGGGCCTGACATGGGCTCGGACCCACAAACCATGAGATCACGACCTGAGCTGAAATCAGACATTCAAATGACTGAGCCACCCAGCCGGCCCCCACCTTCCCACTCTTGAAGACTGCTGTGCCTCTTAGAATATCAAAAAAACTGAGGCCAAGTAAAATGCTCTTTTTTGATCTCCCATATCCCTACCTAAATCTCCACTTACCTTCTAACCATTTTAACAGCCCTTCCATAGGTCTCAGAGTCAACCTGTGGTTCAACCCAAGGTCAACTACTCTGCTACACCCTGGACCCTTGTAATCTTGGTCACTCTGTCTAATGAGCTCTTCCCCTCAGTCAAAAAAAGAGTTCAATCCTCTTACATACCTAAAACTCTGTTTCACATGCAAACTTCCAGAAAAGGGTCATAGCTACTTACCTGCCAGTCTCTACTTTTCCCCCAGTACACCCAGGTTTTGCCCTCAACGCTCTACTGAAATATCTAATTCTAATTCCTTATCTTACTTTAACTTTGTGTTGTATTTTATTCTGTTGATTTCACTCTCCTCATAGAAACACTCAGTTCTGTGACAACTAGGAGTCCTCAAAGGAGGTGGAGTCAAGTGGAAAACAACATGATAGCGTCCCAGAAAGTAAGTGAATGACTAGTTGTAGTGTCAAAGCTCCAAAGGGGACCTGTAAGGTAAGAATTGTACATACGGTTTTGTAACTTGCTTTATTTTCCATTAATAATCTACCACATGTGCACAGATATCTATTAAAAGGGAGAACTGACAAAATATTCATGATAATAGCTCTGGATTACAAGATATTTTTATTTTCTTTCTCTGGCTTGTCTTTATTTTTAAAACTTTTATATAATGAACATACTATTTATAATAATAACTTTGAGGAGTCTTAATTATATGCTAGATACTGTATTAAGTACTCTATCTGAATTATCTAATTCTCAATGCTTTTATTCCCATTTCATAATGAAGAAATTGATGCTTAACATAATTGGGTAAATTGCCCAAAGTCATGTAAATTGTGAAATAAATATTAAGGAAGAACAGTTAGGGACTATTTTTCTCCTACCAAATTGGCCAATGAAGACTACTCGCTGCTATCCGAGGTTGCATAAGACAAAGGCATAACCTTCAGCAAGTTACGTGATCTCCTTGAGCATCTCTCTCATCTTAAAATGCACCTAACAAGTACCTGATAATAAATAATAGTTACTACCAGTAGAAAACTGAAAATAATCCAGATCTCTAATAATATGGGACTGGTCACAAAAATTATAGTAAACTCATAAATTATTTTTTATGAAACCATTAACAATTGTGTTTTTTGGACAATATTTAATTAGGAAAATGGTTCCTTTATCTACCTTTGAACTTTGTGCTACATATCCAACTAACCTGTCATACAGGCATCTTAAATGTTTTTAATGTTTATTTTTGAGAGAGAGAGAGGGAGGGAGAGAGAAAACGAACGAGCAGGGGAGGGACAGAAAGAAAGGGAGACACGAAGCAGGTTCCAGGCTCTGAGTTGTCAGCACAGAGCCTGACGCGGGGCTCAAGCTCACGAACTGTGAGACCTGAGCCAAAGTCATGAGACAGAAGCTTAACTAACTCAGCCACCTAAAAGCTCCCGAAAGTAGTTTATTTAAAAAAAAAAAAAAAAAAAAAGAGTGGTGTCTGGGTGGCTCAGTTGGTTAAGTGTCCAACTTCCACTCAGGTCATAATCTTGTGGTTCATGGGTTCAAGCCCCTCATCATGCTCTGTGCTGACAGCTCAGATTCTGTATCTTCCTCTCCCTATTCCACCCCCACCTCCCCTCACACTCTGTCTCCCTCTCATTGTGTCTCTCAAAAACATACATTAAAAAAAAAGATATCACCATGACATACCGTGGCCAGGGCCAGAAAGTGCAGAAGCTGATGGTGCAGCCCATCAACCTCATCTTCGGATACTTGCAAAATAGATCTCGGATTCAGGCGTGGCTTTATGATCAAGTGAACATGCGGATCACTGGTTTTGATGAGTACGTGAACTTCGTATCAGATGATGCAGAAGAGATTCATTCTAAAACAAAGTCAAGAAAACGACTGGGTCAGATCATGCAAAAAGGAGATAATCTTATCCTGCTACAAAGTGTCTCCAACTAGAAATGATGAATGAATAGAGAAATTCTTGAGACCATGTACTTTGCTTTTTAGAGGTCCTTTGTTGGGAGTAGTTCTAAAACATTTGTTCCTATCATTTTGATTACCTTTGTGTTATTACCAAATCACAATAAATGCTGTGGGATTGTTTTTTAAAAAAAGATGATATGATTAATTTAGGGGCACCTGGCTGTCTCAGTCAGAAGAGCATGTGACTTTTGATCTTGGGTTGTGTGAGTTCAAATCCTACATTGGGTGTAGAGGTGTAGAGATTACCTAAATAAAAGCTTTTTAAAAAAAATTTTTTTTTAAAGATTCATTTATCAATTCACTTCTTTTAGCTAGAACAGTCACATTTCTGAAATAATTTGGTGAGAGATTTCTCACTTCTCTGTGATTTTTATTCTCTCCTCAGTAATGAGTGTGTGAGAGAGATTTTCTTAAAACAGAATAACATGGAGAAGCATATTAAACGGTTTTTAAGTAACAAAGTACTTAGTCCTGATAACTATATTTATGCCATGTACTGTTCCTTGAAATTCTGAAGAATTTCAACTAACTAGAACTACATAGCATGTAACCTAAAGATTGTACTTAACAGAATATAGTGTTATTTCTCTTGGTGGTTATAGTCCTTTTTGGTGGAATTACATTTCAACCTTAATTAACTGGAATATTTTCTGATGTATGTTTGTGTCTCACAAAGACTTATGTCCTGGACAACTCCCAGATCATGTACTCCTAATCTGGCTCTTCTCCAGCCCCATCTCCTGCCATTTTACTTACTCTCTATTATCTGGCAATCCTGTCCGCATCTTTAAGACTTACACAAAATGTCAAGTTCCCACCTGCCTCCAGGCCTTTGCACACACTGCATCCTCAGCCAGGAGAGCTCACCCTTTTCCCTTCAACTTCACCTGGGAAATACCTACATTCTTTGGTTCTCAGCTCAAAGGTCCCTTTCTGCACTTTGCTTTCTTGGCATTTCTTAGAATGCCAAGTGTGTGAGTATACACATACTCACAATTTGTATAAACAGTTGATTAATATTTGTGTTCCCCAGATTACATGCTCCGTTAAGTTAGGGCCTATCATTTTTAAAATCACTGTCCACAAAGCACCTAGCCTGACAAATGTTTATAAAAGGATTTAAAGCAGCAATTAACCTATAAACATAACAGCACTTTAAACACTGGGATATAAAACTATTTACCCAATAAAACCAACTTGGAGGAAAATGAATATGCACGAAAAAATACACCAATTAAGACAGAAAAGATGAATGCTTTTGTATTTATTTTAAAAAGGCCACAAAGAGGGGCGCCTGGGTGGCTTAGTTGGTTAAGCGTCCGACTTTCGCTTAGGTCATGATCTCACGGTTCGTGGGTTCGAGCCCCGCGTCGGGCTCTGTGCTGACTGTCAGCTCAGAGCCTGGAGCCTGTTTTGGATTCTGTGACTCCCTCTCTCTGTGACCCTCCCCTGCTCACGCTGTCTCTCCCTCTCTCCTAGAAATAAATAGAACATTTAAAAAAAAAAAAAAAAAGGCCACAAAGACACAAACACTAGAAGGGAACACAACTGATAACCTGTAGAATGCTAGGGAGCAAGAACTTTCTAATGTATACCTCTTTCTTAATATCCCATTTTGATTTCTGAACCATTAGAATGTATTACCTGATAAAAAATACTAAATATTTGCAAGACATAAAATACAACTTTAATAGTGATTATCCCGGAAGAGTGGGACAAAGATTTTGTTTTCCATTCCTATAGGTTCACTAAATTTTCTACAATGACTGTGAGTAACTTTCAGGACCAGAAAAAGGATGTACTTTTCAGAAAAGATCTCTGGGGACCTCGGAGAGCAGTTTCTGTGAGGCAGAGAAAGAGAGGGGCTGGAATGGGAAGACTTCCCCGCTACGAGGTGGCAGGATGGCTTTGTTTCCAGATAGGACACACCGGTGTATAGCACTTTTGTGTGCTACGGCGACAGAACCACGCGAAAGGGAGTTGAAAATGTGAGTTTCGGTATAAGCCAAGAGGGGCCGAGCCCCAGTGACGTCACATCCGTGGTACCAACCGCGGGGCAGGGAGCTCCTACTCGAGCTGTATCGTCTCGGAAGTACCAGGGGAGAGAAGGAAAAGGAGAGTGCGTTTGTAGCGGCTGCTACGCAACAAAGATACCTGGAAAAGGAAGAGACTGCTAGATGCCTGCACTGAGGAAAGGAGCCACATCCGAACAAAAGAGGGGAACCACGAGCACTCCAGCCTCTGCCTAAGCTCCTCCCTTGGCTTGGGCGTGCGGCGGAAGACGCGCGCAGGAAGGGGCGGGGCCACGAACACTAAGATCGCGCACGCACGGGTATCGCGAGAGTACTAGAAGGCGGAAGCACAGTTAGTGCAGGATGCGGTTCCTGGTTGCGTTGATCCCGCTGAGCGTCGCGGTGACGGGTAAGACCCCCCCCACCACTCCCATCCCCCACCCCAAATTATCCCACTCTCGCCCCTCAGCATCCTCACCGCGCCCGGGTCGCTTTCTGAGCTCGCTACTTCCCTGCTGTAGCCACCACTCTGCTTGCCATCACCCACCTCCCGCGTTTGACTCGGTTTCATCTAGCTTTGAGGGCTCCGTTCTCCTGGCCTTCCTCTCTTCAGGGTCAACTGGTTTCTCTGTTTCAGTAACCCAACCGCTAGTAAACTCTAGCGAGTCGCAACCGCAGGCCCCTGGAGACGGTTCCAGCAATGTGAATGCCAAGCTACAGCCCTCGGGAGACGGCGCCGGCAGGGCCAATGCCCAGCTACAGCCCACGGGAGACGGCGCCGGCAGGGCCAATGCCCAGCTACAGCCCTCGGGAGACGGCGCCGGCAGGGCCAATGCCCAGCTACAGCCCACGGGAGACGGCGCCGGCAGGGCCAATGCCCAGCTACAGCCCTCGGGAGACGGCGCCGGCAGGGCCAATGCCCAGCTACAGCCCACGGGAGACGGCACCGGCAGGGCGAATGCCCAGCTACAGCCCTCGGGAGACGGCAGGGTGAATGCCCAGCTACAGCCCACGGGAGACGGGGCCGGCAGAGCTAATGCCCATCTACAGCCCTCAGGAGACGGCGCCGGCAGGGTGAATGCCCAGCTACAGCCCTCGGGAGACGGTGCCGGCAGAGCCAATGCCCAGCTGCAGCCCTCGGGAGACGGCAGAGTGAATGCCCAGCTACAGCCCACGGGAGACGGCACCGGCAGAGCCAGTGCCCAGCTACAGCCCTCGGGAGATGGCATCGGTAGAACGAATGCCCAGCTGCAGCCCTCGGGAGACGGCACCGGCAGGACGAATGCCCAGCTACAGCCCTCGGGAGACGGCATCGGTAGAACGAATGCCCAGCTGCAGCCCTCGGGAGACGGCACCGGCAGGACGAATGCCCAGCTACAGCCCTCGGGAGACGGCAGGGTGAATGCCCAGCTACAGCCAACGGGAGACGGCACCGGCAGAGCCAGTGCCCCACTACAGCCCTCGGGAGACGGCGCCGGTAGAACGAATGCCCAGCTACAGCCCTCGGGAGACGGCAGGGTGAATGCCCAGCTACAGCCCACGGGAGACGGGGCCGGCAGAGCTAATGCCCATCTACAGCCCTCAGGAGACGGCGCCGGCAGGGTGAATGCCCAGCTACAGCCCTCGGGAGACGGTGCCGGCAGAGCCAATGCCCAGCTGCAGCCCTCGGGAGACGGCAGGGTGAATGCCCAGCTGCAGCCCTCAGGAGGTGGTGCCGGCAGAGCCAGTGCCCAGCTGCAGCCCTCAGGAGACGGCTCTAACAAGGAGCCTGACTTAAACATACCAGCTGACAAAGATACCTCTCTGCATGCTTCTAGAAGTGAATCTGGGGAGAGAGTATTACTGGACTCTGACCCCAGTTCTTTACAGCAGGAGGGACAAGGTAAGTCTTCAGAGCTTACAGAAGATATGGGGCCCAGGAAGGCTGAGGAAGGTGATACAGAGCCTGAAGAAGGTTCACCACCCCAAGAAGAGAAAGAGATGCCCGGTGTTGCCTCCAGTGAGAACCGTGAAGGGACACTTTTGGATTCCATGGATAGGGAGAATGATGACCTTTATAAGGACAGTCTTGGAAGTGCCAGTGCAGAGAGCAGCCACTTCTTTGCATATCTGGTGACTGCAGCCATTCTTGTTGCTGTCCTCTACATTGCCTATCACAACAAGCGAAAGGTAAGTCAGAAGTTGCTGAAGATGAGGAGTGGGATGTCCTCTACCCTGAAAGTTTGGTGTGGGGGCCGGTATCTCTCACTCATCTTTCTGTGAGCACTGGGGATTTTAAGACACACTTTAATTTACCGTCAGATCCTGCTAGGGCTCTCTACTCTCATTTTATACATCATTTGTTTTCATGTCAGATTACTTTGAGTGCTCTGCTGCTGTATTAGGTGCTAAGTAAGGACATTACTGTGATCTGACCTGAATTGGGGTCTCCTTCCATAATCCTACACTTAGGTCCTTGACAGCCTTAGAGAACCTTAGTACCTGGAAGTTTGTGAATACAGCACTGCCTTCCTGTTTCCACTCGGAAGATGATGATTTCTAGTTTCCTTTCACAAGCTTTTATCTTGCATCTATAGTGGCAGAAAGAGGGGTTACATGGTCTTTGACATCAGCAGCAGAGAGCCCAGGGCCTGTCATCTACAGTTAGTTGAGTTTCTGATTAGAAGAATGGCCAGAAATTGCATAGAGGCACTCATCTTTTACTACTTTGGCAGTGTTTGGTGTAGAGCAATATCTGTTGTTTAGCAACCGCTCTGATGACAAAATGATTGCATTTCTTATTGAGTCCTAAGAATTCCATGGTTTCTACAGCCAGGTTAAAATTGGAGAGTTCAATTCATGATGTCAAAATGCCTACTATGGCTGTGAGGAATGAGGGAAGACATTTAACAAAAAGGCATTCTTTATTCTACATCCAGAGATAAACTTTAGGTTTGAAAGTGGAAGTGGTAACGTTAAAATGAAGCAAGATGTGGGGCGCCTGTGTGGTTCAGTTAAGCATCCAGCTCTTCGTTTTGGCTCAGGTCATGATCTCACAGTTGGTGAGTTCAAGCCCCGCACTGGGCTCCATACTGACAGTGTGGAGCCTGCTTTAGGATTCTCTCTCTCTCTCCCTCTCTCTCTCTGTCTCTGTCTCTCTCTCTCTGTGTCATTCCCCTGCTTGCATGCTCACTCGCTCGCTCTCTCAAAATAAATAAAAACGACAGACAGCAATAAAATGGAGCAAGGTGTGGGGGTGAAAAAGTACATTTACAGATAAGAAATAATTATTGCTTGTGATTAAAAAAGGAGTATCTTATCCTAGAGCTCTCTGGGAAGGAATTGGCAGATCTTTGTACTCTTGAGTAAATCATACAGACTCCCACAACCATAAAAGATCCTGAGGTGACTGGAGGCCCTGTTCTCTTTAAAATTGTTATAAAGAGGCCTCTTTGTGGGTACACTACTCTTTCACTGTCAGGGTCATTAACAGTGTACTACCAGGTGACTACCTCTGATTTCAGAAACTGAACTATGTTATTTAGAGTCACTTGTTAATTTCATTTTCCTTTCTCCAGATTATTGCTTTTGTGCTAGAAGGAAAAAGATCTAAAGTCACTCGACGGCCAAAGGCCAGCGATTACCAGCGTTTGGACCAGAAGGTAAGGAAGGAAACCCCAGGTCTGTGGGAGGGATAGTCTCAGATAGGCCCAGCAGTGCACTTACACATGACACGATGTGACAGCGGAGTCTGGGGTGCTGCTGCCATTGGCCCACAAAGTAGAGACATCCATATGTATACATCTGCAGTATGAGAGCTAGAAGAGACCTTCACGTGCTGCACATCAGCCCCCTCCCTTGCCAGAAGAGGAAATTCAGGCCTAGAAACCCGATTTCCCCCCCGCCCCCCACTCCCCGGAAGTTCCCACTACAAGTTTGTGGCAAAATCAAGACCTGACGGCAACTCCCTAGGCACCTATCCTGTGCTTTTTGCACTGAACCAGCACTTCATAAATTTTAGTAGGCACATGGATCACCCTAGGAATTGTGATGAAAAATCTGTATGATTACATATGGGTCGAGTCTATGCTTCTACATTTCTAGGAAGTTCCAGGTGACGTCACATGCTATGGAGCCATGCTTTAGCAGAGCATCCGACTACACTCCCCAAATACAAACGAGTCCAGACACATGTAGGCCTCCACTTCTAGAGATCAGCCCTGCTGATCTGTGGACTAGATTTCCTGAGTGCAGCCAACTCATGCCTGCCAGGAAGCAAAGCATTCCTTCCCCCTCATGGTGTAGGAGCTGAGCAGAATTCTCCCCAAAAGCAGCCTGGGTGGGAACAGGCTACGTCCACTGCCTTGCTGCCAGCTCGCACCCCTCCTTTCCCCTTCTGTGTACAGACAGTCAGGACATTGGTAAAAAGTAGTCGGTGGCTTGACTGTCAATTTTCCCAAGACTCCCTACAGGGAACACGGTTCACATGTAAAGCTCACACCAGCAGCAGCTCCAAAAACCTTAGCTAAATAGCACAGTAGGTCAGCTTCACAATCTAGCCTTGACCTGGTACCTTTCCAGATAATTGACTTAAAGGATTTATTTCCCTTTAATTTTTTAATTTTAATTAAAACGCACACATAAACCATTCCAAACAACACAGAAATACTACAAACCAGAAGCCAAGATTCCCATATTCATCTCACCAAATGTGTATCTTTCTAGCATATGTTTGATTCCAAACTGACTTTTAAAATAATTTCATGTGTTTTTATTTTACCGATTGTTCTTTGTGTGTTGGAGGGGCAGCTTGTCTTAATTCTGATTTTTCCCCCTGAACTGCAACTCCTATAAGATCTTGTTTTCCCCTAGATTCATAGCAGTGAGGTATAGTCCCCTGGAAGGAGATTAACGTTGCCAATGAATTGTGTTGCTCTTGTTTCAGATTTGATTTCTCTGTTCTTGAGAACTTTGTCCTCCCTGCTGATTTGTTTTTAAATCAAGAAAAATGAAGAAAAAAGTACTGTGACCTAAAAGACACCCCCTCCTCTAGGGTTTGGTGGCACATCGGGGCTGGCAGAGGCGGGGGGTATTGCTTAGATTTTTGCGCCTGCACTTTGGTGACCTTGTACTCCTGTGTCCCCATCACCTATGCTGGTGTCTTCCATCCTTTCCTCCTCTGAGTGTGAGTAGAGGGAGCATATGGGAAGCCAGCTATGACCAAAGGGAGATTTCAGCCCCAGGCAGGCTACTGCTGCTGACTGCCTTCCCTTGGGCCTTGGCCCTTTTGTAGGTATCCCTTGAAAATAGCATTGCACCCACCACTATTTATCTTTGCAGACCCATGAGAAAACTAGGTTAAAAACTGAACCTAGGAGAAAACTCAACTGCAGGTTGAGGTGCTTTTATACCAAGGCCTCATCTGGGGGCCTTACAAAAGATGTAGAAGGTGAATGCTGACAGGCAAAGGGCTACTTTGAATACCTAATTCTCTGCAAAGGCTTCAGCAGCAAACCAAAACAGCTTTTGAAAAGTGCTTTATTGCCTGCAAGTCCAACCTGTCTAGTATAAGTTCCTCACACTTTCTTGATATTTTCATATTATTTAAGACAAAGTGAGTCAGCTTCCATTTGGTTGTACTGAGCATAAAACTGAACTTGGGGATTCTGGGAGTAAAGCTGTAAAGCCACAGTTCCCATCACAGATTTTTAAAAGTATAGTTATGATTATTGAAAAACTGTGTTCGTCTATACTCATGATCGTAACAGGAACTTTTTAAAATAGGGTAAGCTCATATTTTGCACAAGAAAATGTGCAGGAGGGTTTTGGTTTTGATCTGCATTATTTTCCTAGGGCTTTTATGAAAGGTTTCCCATAAACTCTCGCCTTTGTTGCCGAAAATAGACAAATTAGACTTGTAGTCAGAAACTAACTGTACTGTTTCTTTTACCTTAATCTAGTTAGTAGTTCACTATCTGATATAGGATGTCAAGGGTAATTAGTAAAAACTCTCCTTCCATCCCGTGTCAGGGGTTATTAAAAGTTCAGAAATTCAGAGAATTCTCCTGGGGTAACTGAGGGTAGTGTTTTGGATCATGCTGTGGTTTGAAGTTCTACTTAAATCCATTCTAGTTGTGCTACCTATTATAGAGAGCCTAAAGAAAGTTGTGCAGAGAAAAAATGGAATTAGAATAGCTGATCTCAGGGAAACACAAAGAATGTGGGAAGTGAGGGGTGGGATGAATTCTGCACTGTTGAGGAAGTCAGTCTGCAGAAGGGACCATCCCGTTGGCACGTTACCTTGCACCTTGCTTAAAACAGCATGGCTTTGAGTTGAGATTTATGGAGACAAGGAATGAATGAATGAATGCTCTTGGCGGCATGCTCTCTCCCTGTGCATCAGTCTTACAATACTTTCCTCTATTTGAGGAATCTTCTGTCAGGCTCTCCTAGCATTCTAGAAAACCATGGTTCCCCTTTACCTGCCTTTCCTCCTCTTCTCTAATGTTTTCTGTTTCTCCATCTACACTAACACCTTTCCTTCTGCCTTCATGCATGCCCAGATTTCCCATTCCCATCCATCCTGTTTGTTACTCCTTCCCTTTGTAACCTTTATACACTCACTTTGGTCCCTGTCTTCCTATCAGTAGTGTTTTTCCAGAGGTTCAGATTGCCTAAGGTAATGGCTTGTTCTCAAAGCTTAGTCTTGTCCTGGATAGATCTGGGCATTCTTGACCATCCAAATTGAAATCCCCCACTTCTGGTTTCTGTGACTGGTCCCGCTCTACCCTGTGCTGGTGGGGGAACAGAGCCCTCAAAGGCTGGTTTCTCTCTTCCTTCATCTTCCTAGATATTCATCTATCCTTCATTCTCAGAGTGAGTGACTCCAAGTGTTTATCCTTGACCTAGTTCCCAAAGAACCAAATCCTGTTGTGTGCTGTTTGTTTGCTCTGTTGGCACTAGAAACTGCAGTTCTCTCTTCTACCCATTAAGCTGTCCATCTCAGCTGCCCATTTTAATCATCTCAGCTCCAAACCATTTTTACCTGTTACAACAGACCTATCCATTGAAAACAAGTCTCCAGTATAATCTGTTTTCCTTGCTTTCCTGTCATCACATACCCTCACCATTTATTTCACTTCTCTCCTGAATTCCCAACCCCTTCCCCCCAAGAGCCATCCTAACTGGTTCTTCTGCCCATCTTCTCTCATGTGCAGATTGATCTTTCCAAAATCCTTGCCCTGATCTAAAGCTTCTGTCTACCTCTCGTGGCTTAGCGAATCTAGCTTTTATAGACTATAGTGTTCAGTCTATAGATTGGCACTTTCTTGCCGGTCTTTCTCTGCATCCTATCCAGGCCAGAGGTTCCTCTTGTCTGGCCCATCTCGGCCTCTCTGCCTTTTTGTTGTTGCTGTGCCCGCCGTTCCCTGGCTTCCCTGGTGGTTCTTTGGTTGGGGCGCACTCCCTTCTCTTTCACTTGCCTCCCCCAGTGTTTCTTCAGGGCCCAGCTCAGGTTTTCCCACGCACCTTCTTAACTCCCCCACCACACATGATTGTTGGCTCTTTCCATTCTATTCTAATAACTCTTAATGCCAGTCACAAATTTTGTCACTCTAGCAAAAAAGAGAAGATGTTATCTGATGTCTGTATCTGGTCTCTGCTCCCCAAAACAAAGCTGCTTGCAGGAGTGCCCTTGGCACCGTCCGCATAGCTGCTTAGTGCCGTGACGTCCCCGAGGTACTTCAGGAGTTCAGTGTCTTGCAGAGACGCTTTCCTTGTTCAGGACATTGGAATGCGACTTAACTGAGGTCTCACACAGCTCTTCCTGGCTACTGGCTGCTCCCCCTGACTAATGGATTTTGCTTGTAAGGAGGGGAGCAGAAAGAAAGATTGGTTTTAGGAACCAAGAAGATTGGCACCAAGTGGATGTGTAAGGAGTCTGTGGAGTCCGCATAGTTCCATTTTTTGAGCATCCGAGAAGTATTGTTTCTTGTGCTAAAAGAGTGCAATAGAATTTAAGCTTCACTGTAGAAATTACACTGAAGAAAATCTCTCACACCAGTGGAAAACTTTTCCTCAGCAGTTGTCCTTTTGAAGATACCCTGTTGATAGCATGTTTTTCCAGAAGTGGTGTGAATGAGGGTGAGCTGGCTTGAGGAGTCTCTCAGGCCAGGGCTGGAGGAAGGTGCAGGATGCGGGAGGGAGGAGGCAGAGTGGGCAGGACAGTGAAGCCCCTGTAGTCATGAGAAGCACCACTGTCGAGAGAGCTGTGTTTCCTTTACTTCCCCAGCTTTTGGGTGAAAGTTGATTTCCGTAGGAGGAATCAGCTTCAGTCATGGATGTCAGTCGAGGGGTTTGTTTTCCTGGTACAGATTACTGAGTAAACTTATTTAAAGAATCTGCTTCTGGACTCTGGGGGAGCTGAGGCCAATCTATCTAGAAAGGCTACAACTCGGAAAGACCTGACAGCTAGCTGTGTGGATGCTGACATTTCTTTTCCCATGATGGCTTTTAACGAAACATTTGGTGGTAGAATTATAAACCTCTAGAATTCCCCTGACGGTGATTGTCATTTTTTCTCTCCTTCATGTCATTTAAATCAAAAAAAAGGAAGCCTGCTTCTTGTTTTTACAGGGTAACTTGATACATAATGCTGTGTTATGTATGTGTGATGAAAGGTAGCACACTTTGCACATGTTCTGAATCATTTGAACAGGGGAGAGAGTATCTTGTACACCAGACACCAGGCCCTGGTGTTCTGCCACCTGTTTTATGAAAAGTCTTCTGAGAAGGTTGCCCTAGACGATGCCTTGCTTAAGGAAGAATCCTGGGAAGAGATTTTCAGGTTCCATTTAACTATTCATCTAGAGAAAGACTGAATCTCAACTCACCTAGTTCTGCAAGACACCAGTGAGTTTCCTAAATGTTCCAGTTGAGAAACTCGTCTGTAATAGTGTTGGGTCTGAGCTGTGTAGTTTCAAGCTGCCAACGAAACCAGCCTCCTCACACTCTTAGATAATTCCTTTAATTCAGAAGTTTCTCATGTTAAATAAATGATTGTTGAAGTTGTCTCCCTTTTTTGTTTACCCGATTAGAGTGCCACTGTTTTTGCAATGTTTTATATTTTCAGCTTTTTTAACTTAACTATGTAATTACTTAATTTTATTTTTTTAAAGCTTATTTGGTCTAATGATAAGTATTTTTCAGTACGTAATGTTTTCCTGAGCTTCTCTGAATGCCGTTTCAATGTAGTTTTGTATCGCTGCACAGAAACCAAAATAAATTTCAAATATTAAAGCTATAAAATCATTAAATTTATTAAAATGGCAATAAAATTAACAGAAATAAGGCCTACTATAAGTGAAAGGTCTTTTTTTTTTTTTTTTTAAAACCTTCAGCCTTTGTTCACCTTTCCATCCAGTCACTGGGTATGTTCCAGTAAACGAGAACACCACCCGTGGCCTTTGCACACGTTCTGTAGCTTTCCACATTCTGGTCCTGATTGATTTCCAGCCCCACTCCTCCCCAGCAGGTAGCCCCTGTTCTCGGTCTAGGAGGTAGCTGGGTTATTTGTCTTACACTCAGTTACTTCTGTGGTTGTTATCTGCTGTAACCTTGGCCTGGAATGTTCTTTCAGTCTGCTTCAACCCCCATGAAGTCACCTTTCCAGTCCAGTGCCCTAGCTGCTAACATCACCCTTTGCTGTGGATTTTTGGAAGATAAACTTTGAGGCTCAGGTACTGGGCTCCATGAGGGTATCTTGGTGCTGATGTAATAAAGACCCAGAGTCACCTTGAAAATAAGGAAGACAAACCCAGGGCCTGGCTGCATATGAATTGGATATTCTAACATAAACTTTGCTAACGTCTTTACCCCCAGCCCCCACAACCACACTGAGACTATCAGAGGCATTTTGCCACCCTCTGAAAGAGCCACTGGAACCAGCCAAAATGGCCTCTCTGGGGGCCTCTGAAGCCATGGAACTACAACCAAAACCATGCCTAGATTTTGACAAGCATCTCTTTAAGGGACCCTTTTTCAACAGTAGTGTGGAACTCCTTCAGTGCAGCAAGGAGAATGAAGCAGCAGAAGCCTCAGGACAATGGCCCAAGCTGCTTCACCTGACCAAGACTTCAGAGGGTTTTGCCCACCTGACCAAAAGAATACTCAGTTGGGAGGCGATGGAAGCGCAGTGTGAAAGCCCTGCTTGACCAAACAAGCTGTCCAAGTCACTAGCCCACTCCAGGCCTTCTAGCAGGGACAGCAGTGTTAGCTATGAGCTGAAAGAGGCACAGCTTGAGAACTGTGATTGAAGAACTATGACCTGTGTGTCAGACCTTTAAAAATCAGAAATGGATTAGAGTGCCTTACATGAGGAAAGAACCAGTATAGAAAGACATTATGGCTAAGTCAAGGGTTGTGCCATAGCACGAACCAAATTCCTCAGACTCCTCCCCAGCTGGACTAATTCTTCTGCCCCTGGATCCTTGAGCTGAGCTTCTTAAGGTCTAGGTACAAGTTCCGCTTCAGGATGGCACTGCAGCAGAGCAGGGCCCCTTGCAAGGTCCCCACCAACCCACAGGTGAAGACATCCTGGCCTAGGAGGCAAGAGCACAGGCCCATGAGCATCTTCCCCAGGCGGAGGTGGGCAGCAAGGGTTCTCATGTTCATCCCTCCAAGCTAGGCCACCCACGGATGGCTCTACATCAGGATCAGGGTCCAGAGTCTGCTGGGGCAGCCCATCCCCATGTGGAAGGCTGCAGGGGACAGTAGCACCAGAGGACAGAACAGAGTGCTCTGGGTGACCGGGAGGCCCTGGGTTGTAGGCCCTGGAGAAATGGGGCAGTCAGTGTACCTGTCAAGTAGAGGTTGGGAATGGGGCTTTGGACCCTCATGGAGACCATCAAGTGAGGATGTAGGCGGTCCAGGTCATGGTCGGCCCCATAGCAGGCACCCCGGGGAGCACCCAGATAGAATTGGTGGGTCAGTGGGGACCCTCCAACCACAGTTTCCACCTGAGAAGACAAGACAGTCAAAGGGTGGGAGTGGGGCCTTGTGAAATCCTCGTTTCCTCCCTTTTCTGCTCTCCTCAACTGAACTGTCTCCCCAGATGGGTTCCCTGCCCTTCCCTGGAGCTTAGTTATTTTAGGGCTTTATTTCCCTCCCCAAAAGAAAGCAGAAATGGCACCAAGAGGTTTGTTGCTACTACCACACAGTCTGCCCGCCTACCTTCCCCTCCAGCTGTGGGAACAGCCTCATGACAACTGACAGACAGGCTTCAACAAAGGAGTTTTTGAGGGTCTCATAGTCGCTGCCCCGCTTTCCCTCTGCCTTGTCCTGCCACTCTTCAAACCACTCATAGCAGGTGGGCACCACCACGATCATTGTGGACTGGCCTAGGGACACAGAGATGGGGTTACTAATGCCAGGCCCCTTCCCTGCTCCAACCTTCCCCCCACCTCCCCCTGCCCCGAACTGAAAGCCCCACCTGGGAACCGGTCCTCCCAGGTGGGATCCTTGGCTGACGAGGGAGCGATGAAGAGGACAGGCATGTGCGCCGCAGCCTCTTCCCTGGGCATCGAGACGTAGTCCTCCATCCTGAGGGTGAGGGGTGTGGCTGCCGATCCCAGGCCTTGCTCCTCACTGCCACTGCCACTGCCCCAAGGACAGGCCAGCCCCCCGGACCTCCCACAGGGATGAAGCTGAGGCCTACTCCACATCTGCTGCAGATTCTCCAGCATCAAGGGAGGAAGCAAGAGCCCGTAGGCTGTGGGCCCCTGCGGACACCCTCCCCAACACCATGCACACACACGCCTTACGCCTTGTCGAGGTCTGTGTCAAAATAGACAAAGTAGTTGGTGGGCTGTAGACCCAACTCCTCCTTGGTGCCTCGCAGGCCAATGAACACAGAGAAGGCGCTCAAGCCAGGCCGCACCGTCTCCAGCTGCTGCCTCACACCTGCCGAAATGTAGATGGGCACTGTGTGGACCGCTGCCGGGAGAACCTGCTCACTTTACCGGCAGCCTTACCCTCAGCGACCGGCCTAGCACCTGGGTCATCTTCACAACTGTTATTTCAACACTAAAATAACAGTGTTTGCAGGGGCCTCCTCTTCTCCAGCTTCTCCCTGGCAAGAACACACCCCCGGGATTCCAACTCTTCTGCCCACCCCCTGACTTCTACACTAAGCCCCCTTAAAAGCCCAGGAGGCCCAGCTTCTCTAAGCTGGCTCAGTGCCTGCGATCTTCCCCTAATGACTTTAAGTTATGAGATCACTGGGCCCCACACTATACAGACCACACATATGAACAGTAGTTTGGTATAAGCCTCGATTTCCATTATTATATTTAATACAAGCCATCTAATGATCAAATATGCATAATTCCTAATGTACTGAATAGGCCGTACAAGACCTCAAAATGGTAAGCAATGCAGATGAGCAAATGCCAGCAGCGTTACTGCCAGCTGTCACTTTGGGTTCAGGTAGGGGAGGAGGGAAGGAGAGCACTGTGGAAGCAGGCAAGAGCCTCTGTGATATCCATCTGATGTCCCCCCCGCAAGCTGAGCAGCCGGGCTTCCCCACCTCTCGACAAATGACCCCAGACCAGTCTTCTGGAAACAGCTCCCATAGAGTCTTCTCCTTCATTCCCATTCCCAGGGCCATCACCTGCCTGCGGGGTAACTGGGCCACTGGCTGCTGTGCTTAATTTGTTAAACAAGTATTTGCTGAGGACCTAAAATGTGCTGAATCTTCTGCTAGGCTTTGGGAACACTACAAGGAATCAGATATGCTGCCTGTCTGCTGGAAAAGAGGCTTTCCTGGAAGAAGTTGGCTTTCCTAATAGAGGCTACAAAGAACCGAGTGCTACGTGTAGGGTGACCATAGGATTTATCATCTAAAACAGGCACCTTTCGAGAGTGAAAGGAGGCGGGATGGCAATTACAGTAGGACCACAAGTGGGAGCCTGACAGACCACTGGGCCACGGGGGCGCAGTCAGCACGGAAGCGGAATGTGGGTTTCCACAGCCACAGGAAGGGACGGCGGGCTGCCCTGGAGCCGTAGGACCACCTTCTCGCCTGGGTCCCGGCATCCAGGGGTAATCTCACTGCCAGCTCCCCCTCTCCAGGGGGGTTGGGGTGGTCATGGAGAAAACGGGGCATAGGAGTGAAACCACCTAGGTCTCCAGAGGCCCTCAAGAACAGCAACTACCTCACGAGCCCCTCCTTCCCTTTTTTCCAACTAGAAGGATGTGATCCAGCAACCACATACCTGGCAGAAAAATAGAACCTTGGGTCCCAAATAAGGCACACGACAATTATATCCAGGCCTTTTTCTCCATGCCAACCTTAGTTTCCCTTACTGATACTGTCAGACCAGTCTTCCCCACTCACACAACTTCCTCTCCAAACCACGCCTAGGAGCCTCCTCAAGGCTCAGCAGTGGAAGTAAGAAAAGTGCTCCTATTCACGAGGCTTCTGCCTGACCACCGCACCTCCACATGACCCCAACCAGCACTGCCTGCCCCAAAGGCCACCAGATATCTGGTCTCATCTCTGAGAGGTGGATGGTTGCAAAGCAGGTGGAAACAAGAGTCCCCGCGCCTGAGGGTCTCCTGAGTTAAGCATCATGGCTGCCACTGCCTAAAATGCTCTCAAACTGGGATTCATCTGAGGCAACATCCAATGCTCCACCTAAGGGGGGCAATTGGTTTTTCAGCCAGGTAGGGTTGGTGCCATTGGTTTAGATACACAGAAACAGTAAACGCCGTAACTAGTAAAGGGAGGGCAAGCTAAACCTGTAACTCCTGACAGGGCGAACTGGGAGGAGGCAGGGCAGGAGGAGGGGCACTGGGACCCATCGGAGCCAGGGTTCAGAGGTCCTGGGAGGCAGGAAGTACCAAAGGCAAAGTCTTCCAGCTGCCCTGCTACTGGCCAGTCGGCCGCACTCCACTGGGCTCACACAGCCACACAGCCACACAGCGTGAGGGAGGACAGGCCTTCTCTGGCAACAGATGCTGGCTGAGGCCCAGCTGAGGACCACACTGCTCAGTCCAGATTGGGCCAAGGGCCCAGGCTTTTAAGTCAGATCCGCCAGTGTTCTCATCTCAGCTTTGCTGCTTTCACCCGAGTGGCCTTCACCTGTATGGGTCTCACTTCTCCTCCCACGGCATAAACATTAGGATGATGACATCTGTCTTCCAGGTGGCAGTGAGGATCACGTACCACGACAAAGGTAAAGCCTCTCACACAGACCTACCAAGGAAGGGCTCACCCACAGATATGTCTACTTCCCCTTCACCCCCCAAAACCAGGCTTCTGTTATGTTTGGACACAGCCTATCAGTAGAGAAGACTGTACTGAGTGTTATTTATTTCTGGGCCCCAGATTTCAAGCACAAGCCCAGGACTCAAGGGACAGAAGAAAGCCAGAAGGGTACTCCTGCAGCCTCAGCCCCTCAGGAGCTGGTTCCTGAAAGGGGCAAAAAAGTAGAACCTTGGGTCTCAAAGCACACGACAATTTTAGCAAGACTTTTTTCTCCATGCCGGCCTTAGCTTCCTTTACTGATGTCAGACCAGGCTTTCCCACTCAAAGTAAGTGAAGAATTTAGGGGAAAAAAGTAGGATTCATACTGCAAACCCAAGAAATGTTCCTTTAGGACGCTACCCACCATCATGAATTATTAGATGATTTAAGATCTAGGGAAACTGGAAACAGGCAATGGAGACTCGAAAGAGAAGAGGGCAAAGTGGGCGAGGTTATAGGGGATGAGGGATAAATATGCCAAGAGCTGAGTGAGAGATAAGGACCAAGGGGTCTTTGGGGATAATTCAGGACAAAGAGAGCTGCTTCCCAACCTCCAGACACAGAGGCCTTGCTGGGAACAGATGCCAGAGGCGGGGTGCTCATGCTCACCTGTTGTGCTTAAGGACGGTCACAGGGCAGTCAAGAGGAGCAAGAGACCAGCCGAGCTTGTTCCCAAAGGGGGCACTGCTGGGAGCTCAGAAGAGCAAAGCAGCCCAGCGTTTTACCTGGCAGACAGCGGGCGTTCTCTGGCAGTAGGTGCTTGTAGGTATTGAAGAGTCCTGCATTGGAGATCACAGTGGGGCAATAGATGTTCACCAGCTCCTGACCCTTCTTCACAGTGACACCTGGCGGCACAAGAGCTTAGCTGAGGTCCTGTGCCTCCAGAAGGAAGAGAAAAGGCCCCAATTTTACACAGACCTCTCCCAGCCTACACTTCATCATCTTAGACCTGGGCATCCAGCCCACTTTCAGTCAGGCAGGCGGGGCCCAGGCAAAACTGCAAAGCAAGAGAACCATCCTCAGGCACTCTCTGCCTCTCCCCACAGTTGCCTGTGCACTCACCTTCCCTGGCTCTCTCCCCATGCCATGTGGGTGCCCTTTTCTGTAGCCAAACCCTACAACCTCCACACTAACTGTGACAAAGCTCCTGGGCGGCAGCCCTTCCACTGGAATCCCAGTCCCTCTTGACTGCTGCCCCACTTCTATTTCCAAAATACTTGGAGACCCTCCGATGACACCACAACCTAGTAAGATAAACACCAAAGTCTTGTACCAGGCTTCCAAGATCTGGTCCCTTCTGTGTCTCCAGGCTTGTCTCTGGCCACACTCACTAAACTATTAGGTGACACCATATCAAACAGCTGATCTTCAACCACTTTGACCTGTAAAAATGGTAGTGTCTTTGGGTTCAGCCTACTTCCAGATGCCTAAAAATAGTCAGCTCTTTCATGCATCGGTGCCTGCGCACACTCTGTTCCTCCTGCCTGGAACAACATCCCAAAAGTTCGGGCTAGCTTCTCACCTTTCATGAGCTAGCTCAAGCACCTCTGCCCTCCTTCCTCCATCCTTAGTCTGTGCCTCAGTATGACACTTTCATCTCAGTGATCTTCCCTATACTTGGAAACTTCCTGAATTATAGATTTTCTTTATAGCCATCTTATCTTTTTATCTCCATCTTTTATTACCTAGCACATGAAAAATACAAGTAATTTTCTGAACTGAATTTAACTGAACTGATAAACCCACCTTGCTTCACGGACCTCCTCTGGCTGGAAGTGGAACTTGCTTGTGGACATCAGAGAAAAATCTCACACAACCTTGGACCACCTCTCCCTTCTCACCCAACAATTTCCTAGTCCCTTCTACAAATGCATTCTGAGATCGCTGATGACTTTTCTCCCTTGACATTTTTGTGCAGTGGGCCATGCACACACTTTCCCCTTAAATGATCCTTCTGGTGGATTCACTGTCACACCAGCCCTCTTCTTTCAGGCCTCTCTCTGTCTCCTTCCCTGATGTTTCTTTAAGGACCCCCTAATCACGGATAGCCTGTTCTCTTTACCAGAGTCCTTCCCTGCACACACCCTCTCCTCACAGAACTCATCCACGGTGGAATTCTGGTGTTCTGGGCAGGTGACAGTAAAGACCCCAGCCAGGATAACGAGATTCTAGACACCACTCTGCCATATACAGGTTGAGGGCAAGGCATCTTGCTGGCCTCCACAATGCCCTTTGGAGTGCCCAGGTAATTTATTCATCCCATCAAACACTAACCAAACAAGTATTGAGCCTCTGTTATGTCCTAAGATCTACAGGCATAAAGACACAGCCCCCAGGGTGCCTGGGTGGCTCAGATAAGCATCTGGCTCTTGACTTCCACTCAGATCATAATCTCACAATTCGCAGGTTCAAGCCCCATGTCGGGTTCTGTGCTGGTGGTGTAGAGCCTGCTTGGATTCTCTCCCTCTCCCTCCCTCTCTCTCCCCATCCCTCCCCTGCTTGTGTGCAACAAACAAACTTAAAAGACACAGCTTCTACATTCAAGGAGATCATGGATTACTGGATCACTATTTTTACCTATTGAATAAGTGATTAAATACTGTTCTTTGAGGACCATGCAATCCTTTATCCCTCTTGCATCCTTTCTACCTCCAGAGTAATCGCTCTCCCCGAGACCCTGCTTGGGGCAGTTTCAGCCTTGAACTCCCCGCGAGGAGGCTGGTTCTTCTACACCTAGTGCTTGTTTCTCTCTGCACCCCAGTTCTCCCCCACCCGGGCCCAGGGGCCATGAAGCACGATGCGGGGCTCTCACCACAGGCCTTCCCGGCGGAGTCCAGCAACACACTCTGCACGGTGGCACTGGTCAGCACAGCGCCCCCAGCCCGCTGAATCACAGCAATGGTGTGGAAAGCGATCTCACTGCTACCCCCTCGGGGATAAAAGGCCCCTTGCATGTAGTGGTTAGTCACCAGAGCGTGCATGGAGAAGGCACTGTGCCTGGGGGTCACACCTACAGAAGAAAGGAAGAGGCGATGAGGCAAGAGCAGGCGACAGCAGCATTTAAAGAGGAACACAGATCCTTGTCAAAAAGCATGCAAGCCTCAGTCTACCCACCCCAGCATCCAAGGGATCCCCAGGGCTAAGGGCAGCCAAAGGGTCTAGCTATTTCCATCCAAACACAGGGTACCTTACAGATCCTGGGGCCAGTGGGAATGTCCTCCCTCAAAGTGCCATGCTGCCGAGACAGGGAGGACATGGCTGGTTGAAAAAGAAAACCAGGGGCACCTGGGTGGCTCAGTTGGTTGAGTGTCCGACTTTCGCTCAGGTCATGATCTCGCGGTTACGTGGGTTCAAGCCCTGCATCAGGCTGTGTGCTGACAGCCCGGAGCCTGGAGCCTGCTTCGGATTCTGTGTCTCTCTCTTTCTCTGCCCCTCCCCTGCTCTTGCTCTGTCTCTGTCTCTCAAAAATAAATAAACATAAAAAAAAAAAAAAAAGAAAAGGACGCAGGGCGCAGCACAAGGAATTTTTACCAGGGAGTCCAGCAGGTAGGTGGACAGACTTCTCACCCACAAGCTCCAGACGACCCTGGGTTTATACCGCTCCACTGCCGTCAGTCAAGCAGCTTCAGGAAGAAATACTGAGAGCCAAGAGGGCAATGCCTCCTCCTCCAGGGGCCACCCAGGACTTCAGGCCAGTACCCACCGTAAGTGGGGAAGATGTAGCTGAGCACCGCCCGGAGCTCCCGGGAGGCCGACAGCTGCCGCAGGACCTCATCCAGACTCTGGGTGGAAGTCCGGAGAAACGCAGAGAAACGGGTGAGCGGCCACTTGCAGAGCAGCTGAGCTACCCGCAATGGGAGGATCTTCAACAAGACAGCAAGGACGACTCCATGGGAGGCCTCCTGAGGACAAAACTTAGCAGTGAGGAAACCCTGTAACCGAATCACCATTCCAACAGCCTGTGCACCAGCCCAGCACCTGGGCCCAGCAACACTTAGCCCTGGCTGAAGTTGGATTTTCAAAAATCTGTACTCTGCGAAGTTTTCCCATTCCACATTCAGATGGGTCCTTTTCTGTGTTTCGGTGTCCTGCCCAAATCCCTTTTGAAAAAAATCCCATCTGGTCTCGGATGAAGTAAAAAAAAAAAGGTGTGATCTGACCACATAGAAGCCAGCTTAGTCCAAAAGGAGAACACAGTGCCACCACCCCCCCGCCCCCACCAGAGGCCAGAGTGAGAATGGCTGCTGTCAAGTCCAGGCTCCAGAGAAAGGGCCCAGCTGGGCAGAGGTCAGCTAGGGTAGGGCTAAGTTCAGGGCAGACTTGACTGGTCCTCCCTTCCTGCCTCGCCCCCCAGTCACTGCACTAATGAAGGTCAGCCTTGTTGGGAATAAACGGGGCGTTAGGATGGGGGGAGGTCCTCAGCATGTCCATGTTACCTTAACCAGCTTTATATATTTGTCAATGGCAGCTTCTTCCTGGGGAAACTTCTCCTTGAGGCCCTGAATGTAAGCTTTCTTCCCACTGTACATGGGGAACTCCTTTCGGCCATCGGGCCCTTCTAATACCATGATGTCAAAGGGAGATGACAGGGGAGCCCATTCCAGCTGCCCCTCAGTGATCTGGTCCAAGATAAAACGGTTAAGCTTGCCTTCTTGCATATGTCCAACATAATGGATTCCTGTTGGGAGACAGAAAAACCAGGCATCATAGGGATAAGGACGCTGCTCCCTGGAAAGGTAGATAAAGGAGCAGAGTAGTCCAGCCTGGCTGAGTCCATGCCCAGAGAGTGCTACCTACCCTCTCTATGGGGAGGGGATGCGGCAGAAACCACCAGATCTCTGCCCAGTTCAGCTGCCACTGGTGATAGCTGTCAAAGAATGTGGTGCCCGGAGAGATGATCGGGCCTCCAAAACAACAGAAATCTCCAGTGTCATCCCGCCATGACTGCTCCAAGCCCCTTAAAGATATGGCCATGTTCCCAGCCCCTTCCCACAGAAGCCTTACCTGTGTCAAATTCCAGGCCATTCTTTCTGAAAGTATGACAACAGCCTCCTGCCTTGGTATGTTGTTCCAGGACCAGAACTCGCTTGCCGGCTTTGGCCAGAACCGCAGCTGCAGCCAGGCCCCCAAAGCCGCTGCCAATCACCACCGCATCCAGCTTCGGTGGCACTCGGCTCACCGAGAAAGCTGCAGCAGGGGGAAGAGATGAGGGTGAGCTTTGTAGGCAGGGGAAGCAAAAGAGCAAAGACGTGGAAACCAAGGAAGACTCCGCTGGCTCATACGGTGCAAGAACACTCGAGCGCAGTTGGGCATGGAGCAACTGACTGAGATATCTCAAACATTTCACGTGGGAAATACTCAGGACCTGCCAGGCAGATTAAAGACAGTGATGTGGTCTTATTGGAACTAATTTAACTAAAACCAGTGTGTGCCTGGGGATTTTCCCTACTTTTAAAGAAAACCAACAAAACACAAACAAAAACAGAAAGCTGACAATAATAATACAGGCTGAGGGGCACCTGGGTAGCTCAGTTGGTTAAGTGTCCAACTTCAGCTCAGGTCATGATTTCACAGCTCATGAGTTCAAGCCCCGCGTCAGGCTCTGACAGCTCAGAGTCTGGAGCCTCCTTCAGATCCTGTGTCTCTCTATCTCTGCCCCTCCTCCACTCAATCTCTTGCTCTCTCTCGCTCTTGCTCTCACTCTCTCTCAAACATAAACATTAAAAAAATTGTTTAAATAATAATAACACAGGCTGAGAAACTTAAGCGCAAATAGAGAACTATGGAAGAAGGAAAACAAGGAAATGGGGAACAGAGGGGAGTGCTGTGGGTAGGCTACTGGCTCATGGAATTGTCCATTCACAAGTCAGTTATCTTCGGAAAATACAGGGTCTGTAGGCACCAGGGAAGCAACCTGGTCCTATATTGGTTCTTCAAGATCCTGAAGCAGAGGGTGGAGCAGGACAGAGCTGAGAAATGAAAGCACCACCCCTTCATATCAGAGAAGTCTGGAGGCAGAACTAAGGGACCAGCACCTAAACAAGATAAAACGGAAACCACGTGGTGCCACATGGGTGCTTCCACCACAATGTCTGTTCTTTATTTTATTTTTTAATGTTTTATTTATTCTTGAGAGAAAGATAGAGATAGAGCATGGGTAGGGGAGGGGCAGAGAGTAAGGGAGACACAGAATCAGAAGCAGGTTCCAGGCTCTGAGCAATCAGCACAGAGCCCGATGCAGGGCTCGAACTCACAAACCACGGGACCATACCCTGAGCTGAAGCCACATGCTTAACTAACTGAGCCACCCAGCATCCCCAGGATCTGTTCTTTAAGGATCATTCTTGAAGAACTGAGATTTGGAATTTTTCCAAGCTGCAAGAGAACTTGGGAAACTTCTAACTTTTCAAACATTTTTAAAAAAACTTTTGGTGAAAAATACATTTTATATCACAACCCAGAATATAAATAAATACATAATATAAATAACTGAAGTTGAAGTTTCACAATAACTGAAATAGAAGTTTCACAGAACTATGTATGATAACTCTGATATTTTCTGTTCTACCACATTTTGAAACGCAACCTACTAAATCGAGTTCATGATCCACTAATAGATCATACAACCCAGTTGGAAAACATTAGTCATCTCGTTTTTATTTTTTTTAATGTTTTTTTTTATTATTATTTCTGAGAGAGAGAGACAGCGTGAGCAGGCGAGGGTCAGAGAGAGAGGGAGACACAGAATCCGAAACAGCCTCCAGGCTCTGAGCTGCTGTCAGCACAGAGCCCAACACAGGGCTCGAACCCACAAACCAAGAGATCATGACCTGAGCCGAAGTTGGGCGCTTAACCAACTGAGTCACCCAGGTGCCCCTAGTCATTTCATTTTTAGACCAACCCAAGAGAAGTGGAGTGACGTGCTAATAATGGCTATGCAGTAAATTAGTGACAGAATCCAAGCTAAAACCCTCATCTCAGAAGTTTAGACTAACAGTCTTTCCACTTAAAACAGTATTGTCTCTGCCTGGGTCACAAGATGTGTCACACAGAATTCTAAAATTGTCAAGTGGGAGGAACGTTGGACATCAAAGAGGAGATCTAATTTTTTTCTTAAAGCAGCACAACTCTTTCTTTAAATCTTATGAGGGACCCCAAAATATATGCCTTTTTTTTTCCTGAGAGAGAGAGAGTATGAGCAGGAGAGGGACAGAGAGAGAGGGAATCCGAAGCAGGCTCTAAGCTCTAAGCTGTCGGCACAGAGCCAGACGTGGGGCTCGAACCCACGAACTACAAGATCATGACCTGAGCCGAAGTCAGACACTTAACCGACTGAGCCACCCAGGTGCCCCTCAAAGTATGTTCTAAAGATGGTAGTGGAGATACTCTGGTTGGCCAAAGAGCAGCTCTCCGCCTGAGGCACCCTGCTGAGCCTCTCCCAAAGTTTTAGAACCAACCATAAGAGTTGGGACGAGGCACAGCCACTCAAACTTTGTGGCAAAATACAATTTCCCACATGCATTGGAAGAGATGTGCAGCTTCTCCATGTCCTTGAACCATGGGGGAGGGTAAGGGGGAAAGTTAAGGTCCTATAACCAAGCGGGGGAAAAGGTCTCTTGTCTATCCTGCGGGTCATGGACCTGTTCCTGGCTATGCCATTTGGTGAGGGAGCATGAGGCAGGCTAAGGAGGAGCAAAGCACAAGCTAGCACCCACACCCACCCCCACCCCTGGTGGGATCTGTGTGATATTCCTTGGACACTCTTGGCTACCCAAGAACAAAGGAAAAGTGTTTAAGTACTTGCCATGGTGATGTGGAAAACGAAGGAAATGAAAAATTAGTAAATTCCCTTACTGCCTAGAGCCCATTGACAAGTCCTTGAAACTGACAGAGAGACCTCCCTCTTGGAGCTCAGCTGCCTCAATGATGGCACTTTGCAAGGGGCAAAAGAGAATCTTGGCTTAACATTATCCCAACTTCAAGGATCCTGTAAGTCAACTTCCTTTATCTCAGCTGCCCCAAGATCTATGCTGGCAATCATACTCCAAGCTTATGGCCCCCCATATGCATCTAAAGGGGCTCATGACTGAGAGTGGCAACGGTAATAAGCGGCATTTCCCTAGCCCCTCAAGGTCCTAGAAACCTTGCTTCCAAAATACCTTAGAGACTTACTCTATCCCTGACCCCTCCCAACCTGAGGGTATATAATGAGCTAACTGTCACAACCCCAGTGCAGCTCTTCCTGTCCATGGGTTCTGTCCCCGTGCCTTAATAAAATGACCTTTTTGCACCAAAGATGTCTTCAAGAAGTTTTTCTTGGCCCCAGGCTCAGGACCACCTCACCATCACCTCAAAACTTCATCACCATGACCTTAGCATGAGGAGGCCAGAACACCCCCCCCCCCCGTGGGGCCACTACGGCCGGGGGGCGGGGGCCTGCCTGGGCAAAGGCTCTCACCGGTAGCAGACACTAAAGCGCCGCCTCCACTTCAAGGAAGCCCTCTCAGCACTTTACATGTGGGGAAACTGAGGCCCAGGTGGGCAGCGGCTCGCCCTGTTGGAATCTGAACTCAAACCTGCGAGGCCGCCCAAGTGCAGCCTTGGAGCCTAAGGTCCCTTCTCGCTGACCTTGCTTGAGAACTTTTTTCCTGGCCTCCTTGTCGGTCACCAGCGGCGCGGGGGGCCGCCTGACGTCCTCGGAGAAGGGGTTCGGGGAGCTGCCTGCGAACGGCCACAGGTGCCCTCTGTAGAGGACTGTCAGCAGCGGCATGACCAGCAGCAGCAGCAGCAGCAGCAGCAGCGAAAGCCACATGGCGCCTTTGGGGCCCAAGGACTGGGTCCGCAGCCAGGGTGCCCAGCCTGTGCCGCCGTGCCTCCGCCGCGCGTTTTTGTCCTTCCCGGCCGGGGTGCGGAGGCGGCATCGGCCTTTGATCAGCCAGGACCTTTCTGGCCTGGAGCCAGGAGCGTAGCGCGGACTGGCCCTCGGGGCGGCTCATACTCTCGCAGCGCGGAGGTTCCCAGGCTGCCGGGAGGTGGGGCGCTCCGGACCCGGAGGCCGAGCCGGGACGCCGTGCGCACGCGCGGGGAGGGGCGGCGGGCGGCTGACGGAGACTGGAAGGCCCGGGAACCCCGGGCCGCGGCCCCCGACCCCCCGACTCTGCGGCGGAGGCGTGGAGTGGAGATGGTCTTCCCGGACCTAGACGAGCCTGGGAGCTGCAGGCCCGAGAGAGAATCCTGCCCGCGACCCAGGAAGCCTGGGTTCTGGTCCGCGCTCTGCCGAGGGCTCGCCGAATGACCGGAGGCAAGTTGCTTACCTGTTTTCGGCACCGTGTGGCGAGGAGGTTTCCGTCCGGAATCCACACACCCCCAGTCTGGCGGGGTCCCTTCATGGAGTGAGATCTGCTGAGATCGCGAGTCCCCGCCAGCGAGCACCCAGCCCTCTGCCACCACCACCCCCTCCCCCCGCGAGGGCCAATCGTTCCGTCCGAGACCGTGGCGCCCCCCTGGATGGCCTGCGGCGGGGGTCTGGAGCGCCCCCATGGCTCTGGCTGGGTCCCCACGACACCTACGCTCCCTCCGTGGGGCTGTGAGGGTCGAGTTGCTGCCAGCGACAAGCCTGATGATCAAAGGACTGTCAGACCTACGTGGTCGTTTATATTTGAAGTATGGACCCAGTTTCTGTAGTAAATACCTATTCAAAGAGTTAAAGCTCCAGCAGGAAGTTTGAAAATCATCTCCCTTAATGTATAGCTCCTTGCCTAAAGTGGGTATATCATAAATCCTTAATTTGAAAAGGACCCAAGGCCATTTCCTTGGGCCCAACAATAAGGAACTTTTTTTTTTAATGTTTTATTTATTTCTGAAAGAGAGAGAGAGAGAGAGAGACAGTGTGAGCAGGGGAGGGTCAGAGAGAGAGGGAGATAAAGAATCTGAAACAGGCTCCAGGCTCTGAGCTGGCAGTCAGTACAGAGCCCCATGCGGAGCTTGAACCCATGAACCATAAGATCATGACCTGAGCAGAAGTTGGATGCTTAACTGACTGAGCCACCCAGGCACCCCCAACTATAAGGAACTTAACTAATGTTGATGGGAGTGATTTTGTAACTTCCATTACTTGCCTTTTTGACAGAATTTTTGCTCTTTTCTATCTCTGATACAGATAGTAACTGTCCTGGTTGAAGCCCCCAGAGCTCCAGCCAGACCTGAGGCACTAGTGGGTGTGAGAAGCTGGTCATGCTTCTACGCTGCTTGATTCATTTCGCACACAGAAACACAAGAGGCTTCTTGATATTGCTCTTACCATACCTACCTGCCTGTCACCTTCCCAGGCTTGGCTAATGTGTGAATGTTTTGTTATATGGTGTTGTGGAGGTCAAGGGAAAGGAAAGGGAACTGGATGCTGAGGCCCCAGAAGATACAGTGAGAGAGAGCTAGTTCCAGATGTACCATGACCGCCAAACACTGTCCTCCCTGCTACATTACAGTGACCCAAATGTCCAGCCTAATAGCCAGGAAATATTCCCATTCTTGATTCTAGGAATCAGTGCATCCTACCATTCGGCGAAGATTCTAGTTTGTTACTGGCAGCCAATTCTTAGGGAATCTGGATCATGTTCCCACAGTGAGGAGCTGACTTCAAAAGAGGCCACCCTCCTTCCTAAGTTACCCATGTCTGTAAAAGGTGATTGTCAGTGGTGTGTGGGCTGTCTGCCCACCGATGATCCAGATTGTTGTAACAGGCATCCATGATGTCTAGTTCCTCCATGGTAAGTTGTGGGCCTGTCCAGCCCCCTTCCCAAGGCAGGCCCGCAGGATGACTGCCTTAGAGTTAGCCACACTGGCTAAGCGGCTGCAACGTGTACAATATCGGTGTTCACTGAGGAAGGCTAGGCAATGTGTTACATTTTGATTTTCTATCATCATAGGAACCAGGCCTAGTATTCTAAGCCCCCAGACCCAACCTGTGTCTGGAACCTAAGCAAAGCCCAAGCGCTTCCACCAGGATGCCACCAATTAGTTTCACCCCTTTGATAAGCTGTCCCCAAATCCCAGTGAATTCATTGTTAGAATTGACCCCAGCATTTACCAGTGCTGCTTCTGCCTTCTGGACACTTGAGAATCCAACCCTCAGACTCCTCTAGCTTTCATCTAGCATAGATAGGATTAGGCATTTGACTAAACCAGCTGATTTATTCAGAATAAGTTTATTGCTTAAAATTTTTTTAAGTCACTTTTACTTTATAAAGGTTTTACTGAATGATGAAACTAGCTTTCTTTTTTAAATTTTTTTTTTTTTTTTTAACAGGCTGAGATGTCAGAGACCTCAGGGACTTCTTTCAGGACTCACAGAAGCCTCCCACACCCTGGTGACGGCACATAGGGACTGTTTTCCTACTCTTAGTCTGAATGACTGCCAAGAAGGAAGGCAAAGGCAGAGCAGTTGGGTCTCTGGCTTTCCCCGCACTTCTCATCCTTTTTAGACTCCTTTCTGAGGCCAAGGATAAAGTTCACTTAACGAATGACTTTGAGTCATGAATGAAAACTCTCGCTCTTTCCATGAGAAAGAATTAAGAGATGGACAGGTAAGCAAGCACTTCTATTTAGGAAAGAAGGTGTTGGTTGGGGATATGTTGTGAATAGTGATAACACAGAGGATATATCACAAAAATGTAGAACTTTAGAAATGTTATAGGAAAAGCCTAATTATAATGCTCTTTGTTCTATTAGGAGAAGTTTGTGTTTATTCATCTCTGAGTCAATTGCCTTTGTTAGTAGCTTATGTTCTAAATGTATTGTGGGATTTTGTTTTGGATTTGCTTGAGTGAGAGAAGAATTTCAATGAGGAATCCCTCAAGGTATTTGTGATTCATCAGTTTGTTTACCTTATTGACCCTCTGCCAAATAGATGCTTTGGCTTGATTATCCTAGGGTGATGACTTGTGAGCCTGGGAGCTGACCCTCCCTCCCTTACCTTTCTCCCTGCCTTGTCCAGAAATGGCCTTACATCTATTGGCCCCTGGGACAAAGCCTTTGCTTTGGGAGCCCTGGAAGGTTTTCTTCACTGTACTACAGAGAGAAGTCTTTGGCCACTGGAAGGGACTGAATTGAAGAGGAAAAGGAAGGATGAAATGAATCCTGAGCACACAGATCCCTGCAGGGAGTTGTTCAGCATAGTGAATCATCACGTATTTTTGAGAACACATTTTGTGCCTAATACAGTCTTAATGGGTGTCAGAAATAGGAAAGAAGTATAAGAAAAGATTCCTCTACTCAAAGCAGCAGAGTGTGATTTAAAGATAGACTGTGTTGGGGAAAGTAAAAATTCTAGGCACTGGGCACCTGGATGCCTCAGTCGATTGAATGTCTGACTTCCAATCAGGTCACCATCTCACGGTTTGTGACCGTGCTCACAGCAGCAAGCCTGCTTCAGATCCTTTGTCCCCCTCTGTCTCTGCCCCTCCCCACTTGCACTCTCTCTCTCTCTCAAAAAGAAATAAACATTAAAACAAAAAAAACCTCTAGGTACAATTTCAACATACTCACAAAAAAGAAGTAGAGTATGGCTAAGTACTAAGTAGAGTAAGTAGAAGTAGACTTACTACTTACCCCAGAAATGTGGTAGGGGTGAGTGTACAGAGGGGCCAGTGAGCCAGGGTACGGGTGGTCCTTGGTCCCAGATCATGAGCAAGCACCCCTGTTACTCATAAGGTAGAGGTCACTAACTTTTCTTGGGCTCAACTCTAAGTAATTATTTTAAAAGATGCCCCAGAGAAAGCAAAGCAGGTACTCGTAGCAGGAATCCTAAGCTCGGGTCCCTGTCTAAATGTCCAGACTCGGGGTGTGAACAGGTTTGTCATACCGTCAACACCGAGGAAGCAACTCAGAAGAGCTGTTTTCTTGGCACGCAGACCTTTTGCAGGGAGCTTGTGCTGGCTGCAGGGCTGAGAGAAGGGGAGAGACCCTTGCAGTGTAGTTCCAGTGGGTAAGGTGGGCCACCTTGAGGAGACGCAACTGATCTTGAAGGGACTGAAGGCCACAGGAAAGGTGGCGGTAGGGGTGTATTCTGGAGGAAAACCACACGACCCAAGGTCAGAGGCGAGAGGAACTACAGCAAGTATGTTCACAGGACTGAAGTGGGCAATAATAGTGAGAAGGCCTCGGGGCACCTGGGGGGCTCAGTCGGTTGAGCAACACTGACTCTTGACTTCAGTTCAGGTCATGGTCTCACGGTCCGTGAGTTCGAGCCCCGCGTCAGGCTCTGTGCTGACAGCTCAGAGCCTGGAACCTGCTTTGGATTCTCTGTATCCCTCTCTCTCTGCTCCGCACGCCCCCGCACACCCACTCTGTCTCTGTCTCTCAAAAATAAATAAGGATTTTTAAAATTTTTAAATAAATAAACATTGTAAAAAGAAATTAGTGAGGGGGCATCATGAGGCCAGTGATGGAGGAGTTTGTTCAGCTGCGGTGTGTGTCGGCATCCATTCTTGTGTCCTGGTCATAAAGAAATCAAAGCTTTGTTTAAGGAGTAGTAGTTGGCAAAGTATGGGAGGGGGATTAGAGTAACAGAACAGGCTGGGATTCTGGGGCCTTAATATAAGCATTGACTTTTTTTTTTTTTTACTAGTTAATTTTCATTAGTTTCTTTCTTTTATTTATTTTGGAGAAAATAATACATTCACATGGTCCAGACTCCAAAAAACCATGGAGGATGTATTTATAGTGAAAAAACTGCCTTCTACTCTTGTCCCCCGACCACCCAGTTTTCTTCTGGAGGCCAAGTCACTGCTTCCTTGGGTGTAATTCTGGACACAGTGTCAGCAGAGCCAAACAAAATGTATTTGTGTATTTTCTGAAAATACACGTGTTAA